GGTCAGTGCAGCCTCTTCCCCCATCCAGTGCCTGGCAGGGCAAAGCTAACTCTCCAGCTCAGTCAGTTGCCCTCTTTGAGGTCACCCCATGTATGGGCAAGCAGGGATCTATGAACGCATCTGTGAATCTGTGAATCTCTGGGAAGCAGGGGAGACAGAGAATATCCCTCCCTGTACTCGGCATGCCAGCTCTCAGAGGCTCTTCACACACCCTGCCTTGGAGAGTGAGGGCAGTTTCTTCTCTCAGAACCTCAGTGAAAACATGGGAAAGAACTTCCCAGTCCAAGGTTCCCTCCTCACCCCTCCTTCTGGAGATGCTGCTCCTGACAGCCTGGATTGACCTTAATACCCAGTGAGCTATAGGAAGACAGGCTTGTGATAGAGACCAACACCCCTTACAGTTCGTGTGGCTGGAAGAATGAGCCACAGGCCACAGGTGCTGCAGAACAGGCTCCTGGATGCTGCTGGCAGCGTTTTCCTCCAGAGAAGGTAGAGTCAGTCCAGCCGAATCATGAGAGAAACTGGATGGCAAAATCTTCAGTTCATTCCATTCCCCTGGAAGCGGCTATATATATCAAAGCAAAGGGCTTGTAAAAAAGAAGAGAACTGGAGTGAGGCGGTGGGATGGAGCGCAGGGTGGGCAGAAGATGCCTGGCCAGATTCAGCAGAGCTGGGGAAAGAACAAGGGACCCCGACCTCTATGGCCAGTCTCAGGGGCTCACCCTTCGCTGACACCTGGACCCCTCCAGCCCTTTCTGCTGCTTGGGTGGTTTCCTGACAAGAGGCCGAGGGCAGACTTCCATCCTGCCTCCGACCGGACCCTCTTTCTAGCCCACCTTCAGCTCCCGGCTGTTCTTAGTCCCAGAGCCACCTGTGTGCTGTTCGCAAACGGAGGCCTGCCTCAGAGCTCCCCTCCCTGGCCCAGTTGTGTATTAGGGTCTTTTGCTGGGGAGTGTTCCTCCCTGTTCCCCATCCTCTTCCCCTGTTCTGCATCCTCTTCCTCACTTCCTTTCTTACCAACTGTTGGGAGCAGGAAGGTCTCAGATGAAGCCTCCACATACTGTTCTGTTTTTGTTTAGAGACAGTGTCATCTTTGTGGTTCTGGCCCTGGCTAGCCTTGAACTCACAAAGATGCACCTACCTCTGCCTCCTGGCTGCTGAGAGTAAAGGGATGGACTGCCACCTAGCTTCTGGAACCCTTTGGAACCCACTGCTCTGGCATATGTTTTGGTTATTTAATCACCTTTTTTCAGTCCCAGAGCACACAGAACATGGGCCCTTTATTCACAAGGGACCTGGAGTGGGCAGCATGGGCCCTAGCCTGGTCCACACTGACCTTCACTGGAAAGGGAGTCAAGGCAGGTGGCAGCAATTGAGCAGGTAGGTGATGAAAGGAAAAGGCCTCTGCCTCAGGACCTGCACCCCCTCCCCTCCCTCGGGTCAATACCCTTCTCCCTGTACAGGATCCTGGCCAGGCCTGGGGTCTACAACACCCTTAGTCCTCTGCTGCCGCTGTGGGGGTAGGGCACTAGAGGGCGCTGGAGAGAGGGACACCCATTTTCTCTTTTTGTTGGCTTTAAGTAACCCCAGAACATCCTTGTGGTCCTCTTCAAAAGTCCTAGAAAAAGTCCAAGAAATAGTGAAGGGCGGGTTCCAGCTTAGGGAATCCTTCGGGGCGTTTGTACCCCACCTCTTCCCTTTTATCCCCAGCCGGGGGAGTGCTGTCAGAAGTTGGACAGCTGTAGGGACTCAGCGATCGCCCCCGTCCTCCACACCGGTGAAAGCGCCCCAGTCCTCAGCCTAGAACCCTGCTTGCTGAGGCACTCACAGACATTTTGGGAAGTGTTCACACCTGTGCACAGAACAAAGGGCGGCTAAGACTCCAGTTCAGAGTAGGCGAGCCCAGGGCAGGACAGCCAGCCGCGGCTGCCTCCAGCAGCTCTAGTCAACCCTTCCAGGCTGGGGTCTCACCGGCGCATTTGGCTTTCTTAAGGCGCAGTGTCCATAGTGTCTGGGCGCCTTTCATGCTTGCACTGTGACAGCTGTTCCCTTCCACGAACCCTCTGACAAGGCAACCTCTGGGAGACACCCTTCCACTCTAGGTGGGTTGCCTATTCTCCACGCCCGCACTACTTCCTAAGTTCCATTCCCTAACTAAGTTCCCTGTAGTGGGAAGGGGACCTGGAAGCTGTAGTTAGCTACCTTCAGGGCACTCACCCAAGACAGGGCCACGAGGCACACAACAGATGTGTAGACTAAGTGCCCTAAGTGCTGAATGGCAAACAGTTTTCCGACCCGAGCTAAGTTTGCGCCTACAGTCTTCCTCATCAGACATTTTCTTCAAGACCGGGAGATGGCGAACCTCTCCATAGCCACAAGGAAGGAGGCTCCAGGGATCGCATCTCCGTGGGCGGGCTGAAGGCTCCAGCGCCTTCTGACCGGTTGGTGTGCGCCGAGGGGTGGGGACTGGGAGGTGGGCAATCACCTTTGGCCCAACCCAGAGGGCACAACCTGGGGGTACAGGAGGAGCTCCTGCAGGTGGGAACTCTGTGGGAAGGAGACAGTTTAGCCCCTCTATTCTGGCCAGCTGCGCTGGGGGAATATTTTGTGCCCAGCCTTTTCAGGGGTAAGAAGTGCCCCCCATCCCCACCCCCGCGCGCGCTCGCGCCGGGATGCGCTAGGTAGGACAGAGCGCCTGCAGAGAGGGATGCAACTCATTCCAGCCCTCAACCCGTACTCCAGCTTTATTCATCCAGCACACTGGCCTCACCGCACCCGGAGTCTGTGATCCCAGGGAGAGCAATGCAATGTGTATCCAGACAGAGCGCAGGTTTCGGACCCAGTGGAGTGGGCCGGGAGGCGTACACAGATCCAGGCAGCTGCATCTTTCGATTCCCAGCTTTAACCAGGCTGGGACAGGCCTACGAGAAAATCCAGAGTACGAGAGGGGAACTGCCGCACTCCTCTTGCCTCACAGCCGGGGCTCCGCGAGCATGAGCATGCGAAAGGCCAGGGCACACCTGCCCTGTCTCGCGGTGCACCTCCCAGAACACTCCCTCCCCCCCCCCCCGAGGATCCGTGCTATTCCTAGCCCGCTCCTATGTCCAGGGTCTGCTTAGAGTAGGGTAGGAGGTTTCAGCACCTCCCACTAGACCGGCCCGGCATTCTGCCGCCCCACCTTCATGCTGCTCTCAGCTCTGGGTCCCTCTTCGCAAGAGCTCGAGTCTCTGGACTCCATCGTGGTCTCCTGTGAGCCCAGGAAAGTCCACACTCTACCATGGCCTGTCCTTCCGATGGCCAGATCCTCGGAGTGCATCGCGATCGTAATCAAAGTGGAGCGAAAGCGAGGCAAAGCGCTGCTCTAAAGGCTGGGTACCATCAGCAGCCAGGGGACCAGAGGGCGGTGTGCTCCGCACTGGAGGGAACTCAGCTCCCGCTGGTCGCTGGCGGCGCCCAATCCGATCCTGAGAGTGCAGATTGAGCCTAGGAAGCCCGTACACTGAAACCTCTAGGCGCTAGGGGCCACGGGAATTTGGGTGAGGATCCCACGCTCCAGGTCTTTCACGAGTCAGGGGCGACCACAGAACTTATTTCCAGTTCCCGCCATAAAATGGCGTTCCAAGCCTTGACCTGTTGGAGACCCGTGGCGTCAAGGCCCGGACACTCACCGTAAAAAAACGAAAATGAACTTCTAAGAAGACCAGCGAGAACGGACGTTGAGGCCCCTCCATGGAGCCACCCGGAACACTTTCTTCCATGACACAAAAACCCCGGAGACCAGGGCAAAAAGGGAAAGTCGTTATTAGCAAACTGCTCCACAAAGGCACAGGGCCTCTGCCTAGATCCCCGGGACAGGAAACAGTCGGTTCTGTCTCCACAGGCTGTATCACAATCACTAGGTATTACAAGGTTAACCGGAAGCACCACCCAAGAGAAGGAAAGTGCAACCTTCTCACGGCCCGCCTTGCTCCGCTCTAGCCCACTACAATTTCAGTTAACCCTTCAGCAATTCTATGGAGTGAGAGGCCCTGTACTAGAAAAGGAATTAGGGCCAAGTGGACCCCACAGGTCAGTCTATAGCTCCTACTCTGCCCTCTAGACTGCAAGCGCACACCCATCTTAAGTCACTGAATGTGGGGATCTTTTCGTCTTGGACCTTGAATTCCGAGGCCGCTGCATCCTGGGCCTCGCTGCCTAAGCCTCTGAGGCTCGCTGGAAAGCCGCGGGCATGCGAATCCTGGTCCTGGGTCTCAAAGTCTGGCTCAAGTAACCTCCCAGAAGAATGCCTAATAATCAGAAAACCTCGAGAAGGCCGGACCTCTTCCCAATACCCCATCCAACTTCAACGAGTTCGAGTTCGGAACCGCGGGGCTGGGCAATTTATTCTAATAGGCATGTGCGTAGTACCAGGGCCACGGTCCTTGCCCCGACATTGCCTGGAGTCAATTGTCAGTTGAGGGATTTTGGTAGATCCGAGAGAGCCAAATCTAGCCATTTGCTCACTAGACTCCACCCTTTTGTGTTCAAGAAAATGATACCCACAAGTTCACTCCAGCTGGCACCACCACAAGCTGGGAGGCTAAAAAGCCACAGTACGGGGCTTGGGCCCTGGTCCCGGATGGAGCCCCCTGACCCGTGGCGTCCAGCCTTCCCAGGCTCTTCCCTGAACTGGGCATACTGAGCCTGCGGAGTGGATCTTGAAATCTACATTCTTTCGGTCGATAAAATATGTTCTCGTATTTTTTCCTGATTTTCTCATTAAAACCTTTGCCTAACTAAACTCCCATCCAACGGGATTTATTTCATCTCTGGGGAGATAAATCAGGGGGCAAATTTACAGCCCCGGAGGCACCTGCCGCGCTAATGGGCCCTTCATGGAGTGCATGGCCGGCGGGGGCGCGCGCAGACGGGCGGGACGTTGGCCAATGGCCTGGTCGCCAGTGCCTACAGCCAATCAGCGCGCGCGCCGCGCCCAGGCCCCGCGGTTATCAGTGCGTCCGTCCCGCGCGGCGCCGCTCCGACCGGCCCCGGAGCAGCCGCCGCCACCGCCGATCCTAGTATCCCTGCCTTCTCTCTGACCGCTGCCCATTCCGTGCAGCAGCCATCGGTCCTCCCGCTTTCCTGCGGGGGCCGTCGGCGTCCGTCTGAACGCGTTCCACGCGTCCCAGTGCAGCCGGCGCCCGTCGGTGCCGCGCTCAAACTTCCCGAGTCGGAGGGCGCGGGCGGTGGCAGCGGGGCCCGGATGGGAGCCCGGGTCGGCGGCGGCGGCGCCCATGGACGCTAACCGGCCGGGCGCGTTTGTGCTGAGCAGCGCGCCGCTGGCCGCGCTGCACAACATGGCTGAGATGAAGACGTCGCTGTTCCCCTATGCGCTGCAGGGCCCGGCCGGCTTCAAGGCGCCCGCCCTAGGCAGCCTTGGCGCGCAGTTGCCTCTAGGCACTCCGCACGGCATCAGCGACATCCTGGGACGGCCGGTGGGCGCAGCGGGTGGCGGCCTCCTGGGAGGCCTGCCCCGCCTCAACGGGCTCGCCTCGTCTGCAGGTGTCTACTTCGGGCCCGCGGCAGCAGTGGCACGGGGCTACCCCAAACCGCTGGCGGAATTGCCTGGGCGCCCGCCCATCTTCTGGCCGGGAGTGGTGCAGGGCTCTCCCTGGAGGGACCCGCGCCTGGCCGGCTCGGGTAAGTGACCCGCGCGGGATGCGGTGAGGAGCGGGGCTGGGCGCGGGCCGCGGACTGCGCTCACCGGCTCTTCTTCGCAGCCCAAGCCGGCGGGATCCTGGACAAGGATGGCAAGAAGAAACACTCGCGGCCGACTTTCTCGGGCCAGCAGATCTTCGCGCTGGAGAAGACTTTCGAGCAGACCAAGTACCTGGCAGGCCCAGAGCGCGCGCGGCTTGCCTACTCTCTGGGAATGACCGAGAGCCAGGTGAAGGTGAGCTCGAATGGGCCGGGGTCCAGCAGTATTGACGCGGGCCCAGAGCCCGCGTCCTGCGAACGGCGGGAGAGCGGCCATTCGGCTGCGGCCCGACCGCGGAAAGCGCTGATGCCAGGCGGGTCCAGAGTGCTGGTCTGGTGTGGCGAGCCTCGGTGCCCGCCTGATGGTCCCTCCCTAACCCCCCAGGTGTGGTTCCAGAATCGGCGGACCAAGTGGCGCAAGCGGCACGCGGCAGAGATGGCGTCGGCTAAAAAGAAGCAGGACTCGGATGCCGAGAAGCTGAAGGTGGGTGGCTCAGACGTGGAGGACGATGACGAGTACAACCGGCCCCTGGACCCCAACTCCGACGACGAGAAGATCACGCGGCTTCTCAAAAAGCACAAACCCTCGAACTTGGCGCTGGTTAGCCCGTGCGGCGGCAGCGCGGGGGACGCCTTGTGAGGACGAGGCCAGGCCAGAGAACCCAGGAACCGGGGTGCGCGGCATGCCCCGACGCCAGCCGCCCAGCCGCAGTGTGTATATATATTTTTACAGAATAAGTTATAAAGCGGACATTGGCGCGGCCTCGGCGTGAGGCGCGGAGCGCGGGGTTTGGGCCGTTCACTTTGTATAATCAATAAATTATTTAACACGTCCCCGTCGGAGCCGTGGCTCCCAAGGCTGCACATCGTGTTTCTTCCTTACGGAGCTGGCGCCAGCGGGCGGGCAGGCAGCAGCACCCTCCAGATCCCACCTAGCCTGTTCCCCCTGTGGGCGCCAGGGCCTGGCGCAGGGGGGCGCGACAGTGCTTGATGACGACCCAGGGCCCGTGTGCGCGTTGGGTTCAGAGGCTGAGCGCATGGTGATGGTCCCAGAGCGCACGCACGGTGATGGCAGCTTTCAGGAGCACGGAAGTGGTGAGACTTGAGCGTCTGGAGCCCAGGCCGAGCAAAGGCAGTTTCCACCGCCCCGGGAAGGGAAGGACACCGCAGTGTAGTGCTTGAAGGAGCGGGACCAGCAGGGAACTCAGTGGAAGAGACCCCAGGTATGATTTCCATTTCCCGTGGCCAGAGACATGGCATCCGCTGCACCCCTACCTGAGATGTACAGTGCTGGGTGTCCTTGACTCAAATGAATGAAGTTGGGGCAGACATTAACTAAACCACACTTGAAGGGGGGCCCAAAGTCCAGCAAGGCTTGTCCCCATTGCAAGCAGTGTGCACCCTCGCGCTATTTTTTTTTTTAAAAATTTCTTTCTTTTTTTGCAAGCTGGGGCAATGAGTGTGCCCTGTTATTTAGTGCCCTTGTCCTGGTTCGGGTAAATCAGCACTGTCTCAAGCGTGGGCTGCGTTCTGTCACAAGTATTTCATAATCATTATCCCGTTTAGCCAGAATTCCAGGTATTTTGAATATAATTACTTACTAAACTCCAGCTGTAGGTAATAAGGCTCGGGGCTCTGCACCCTGCTGGGCCCCAGGCTACCAGTGTTAACAGACTTTCCTTGGGAGAAAGCATGATTTTAAGGAGGACTGCAGAGTCGGTGTGAGAATCCTGCCCCATAGCTCACAGCCTTCAGCCTGTGTCAGCAGCCCTGACACCCACCACTGGTTTCTCAGAGGGCCCTCAACTAGGGTCACTTCCGACCAGCAGCCCACCACTGTCACTTCTACCTGAGCTAGCCCGTCTGTAAGACCAGTGGCTCAGGCTCAGCCAGGGAAGAGCCTGCACCCATTTCGCCCTAGGACTTTTCAGGGCTACAATTCCCTGTAGTGGAAAAACCCATCTTCAGCTTCAGTCTCCTCCACACTCCACAGCTGCACCTTAATGTACTGAACGTTATGTGTGGGATTTCAACACAAGCTAATCATAAGATTTCTATTGTAGGGCATTTAAAAATATTTATTAGAACCATGAAAAGCTTTTCTTTTGTTTTGCCTTTTGTGATGTGGCTCCATCAACCAAAGTCACACGCTTCTTTCGATTTCTTTAAAAGGGAGCAGCACTTTTTTTTTTCTTTCTTAAATGGGGCAGTGTGTTGTTTCTGTGTTGCTTCTCGGCCAAAGTTCAGAGCAGAGAAATTTTGTTGAAGGTTTTGTTCAAAGCAAAAGAACAGTGTTTGTATAATTCCATTTAAAATAGTGAGGGGCCAGCCTTTTTACACTACAGTAAAAAGTCTAAGAGGTGATTTTTCTGAGAGCTTGGTGCCCTGTGGCAGAATGGACATTGAAATTCCCAGAATCCGAGTAGGGCAGAGCAAACCGGGCACAAAGGAGGCCACTCCTGGGCACTTAGCATTTCAAAGGCATGGGAGAGTGAAGCAAGAGACAGAGCAGCAGGAACTGTTTTTCACCATGATCAATTTTATTGCTTAGGAACCGAGCAGTCACTTCCAGAGGCCTTCGGAGGAAGGACCCACAGCTGGAACCCACAGACAACCGCTGCGGACATGGCACATTGGCAAGCAGCGACCATGGCAGTCACAGACCCGACCCTGGCATCAAGGACACAGGCTGGCCTTCGGTGATTTCTAGGGAAACCGACATTAACTCGCGCCTCCGCCCCATCCAGGAACTGTAGTGTTCAGAAGTAAATCAATAAAAGCACGCTGTGTTTCCTCAGCAGGCTCCGCAGGCGCCTTCCGTGGTACTCAGTGCTGGGTGCGAGTAAGGGCAACAGGTTGTGCCCAGCATCACCCATCGCTTCTCTGCCACGTTTACACACAGCCCATGCTAGAAGCGATCTGTGGGAAGTGGACGAGGCTACTTCTAATTCTCCCACGAGATTATGGTTTTAATGTAGGATACTTGGCACCATAAAACGGTAACAAAAGACAGACAAAACGGTTTACAAAATTCTTAAAAGGTACACCCAGGCTAGCTATAAACTTCACATTCAGTTCTTAATATTACACAGAAAAAGGCAGAAGAGTGACGAGCTGCTAGTCCAGGCATGCTGCAGGGGCCCCTCTCCCCTGGGCACTTGCTAGGTCTTGTCTCAGGAACCTGTGCTGACTGCTGATGGACTCACCATTCAACTAGACTGCGGTTCTGCCTGTTCAGGACACTCGTGCACTCATACTGGAAAGTATATTCAGCATAAGTTTTGGTAAGATTTATAAATTATTTTTAAAAAGTATATATTTATATGTATTTATATATATAAAAATGGAAAGCAGCTGCAGTGTGATTCAGACGCCATGTAACATGGCAGTAGAGTCAGACCTCGGGGCCTCGGGCTTGAGCACACACGGCAGCCTTGCTGCCTGGGCTAGTGCCCGGCACACTCCTCCTGGCAGAGAGGGACGCTGGACACCTGGGGCTGTAAATGGAGAAGCTTCCTCCACAGACAATCGTTAAAAATGGAAAACTGTGAAGTCTAAAATACAGGCGCTCGGCTGTCTGTTAGAGTTTTGGCAATAGGACTGTGGCTTGATTAAACCCAATATGTCTACAATGTCACGTGACAGACACGACAGTGAGGTATGTGAGGCTTTCCGGAGGTCCGGAGGCTGAAGCGAAGTGTGGGGCCGGCCGTCTAGCAGGTGATGCTTGGGCGGGTTCCGACACAGCTGTTAGGAGGATGAGTTCGATACACTGCTACAGGGAGGTCTCTCGAGGGTCCTCTCATGGCGCTGGCACCTCTTCCCTGGAGTGGAATTAACAATTTGTTAAAGGATCAAACACACCAGGAAAGCTGCAGAAAGGAGAGCAAGGAGGAGCCATATTTACCACCACGTCACTGCACGACACAACACTTGTGCACATGGGCATGAGGTTTACCTGCCCCAGGTGCGATTCGGAAGGCCAGGAACACCGGCTGCAGTGGGAGAAAAGGGAGAGGTCAGCATGTGCAGGCTGCAGCCCACCGCCCCTGGACTCGGCCCTCATGTCTCCTGAGTATCTGGCACTGAGTCCAGAGGAGATGAAGGCAGTCGTGCGTACAAAGCAGGAATTGAGACAGTTAGCTTGGACCTGGGAGCTAAGAGCTGGGCCATGAAAGGACCCACACAAGCCCTTTCTGCTTATAAGGAGGATAGGTTCCAGATCGGAATCAGTGTAAGGGACATTGGAGTACGTTCTAAATGCAGAGGAATGTATGCACCCATGACTAGGGCATGCAGTGTCCTACCTCAGAGCATGTGGATACGGAGGATGTGGACTTGTCTAATGTGACTGAGATTTGTCACCTGGCCTCAGTGTCACTGGGGATGGTGGGCCACTCTGGGTTCAGGGATAGCCACACTTGGGAAGTCTGTGCAGAGGGTCAATGCACACACACCTGGTCTGTGAGACATGCATTACCACACTCTGACAGGAGTGAGCTCAGCATGGGAAGGCCAGGAACATAGTCCCAATGTAGACTCAAGAAGCAGCCTTCAATCATAACCAGCTGGCGACATGATGTTTTTTACACACAGTGAGATTATCTTCTGTTATGACTGATCATTTCTTTTCCTGCTTACTCATCCACACATCCTTTGGTATTTTATTAAAACTCAATTAACTACATTAACTTTGTTTGCTTGGTAAAGCCAGACTAAAGGAGACGATATGATGCCCCCCCCTCCAGGGGTTCAGCCCCTGGACCCCAGCAACACACTGCAACATCACCTTGTGGTCTCCCATGCAGACATTAGGCCCGATGTGGTCGTAGGTGGCAACTTTCTCCTCGCTCTCTGACTGGAAGCAAACAGAGAGGGGTGTGTAGGAAGGCTGAGGCAATCTGCAGTCCTGCCAGGAGGGGACAGGCAGGGGCTTTGGGGTAGCCTTGGGATCAGAGAAGGGAGGGGCTGTTGCAGGAAGACCTTGGGGGCTGTGCTACATCTCAGCATGTGGCTGGCTCTTCTGCCAGAGAGGAATCCTGCCTCTAGAGAGGGGTGGCAGGTCAGCCTAGCAGTTGGGACTCCCCTAGGTCTCTTCTGCCGGTCCACTGGCCGGCACAGAGCCCCTAGCCCTGTAATTAGTGCCACTCAAAGCTTCCTTTCTAAGGGTGTGTCCTTATCTGAGTAGCTCATCTGTTTCCCATTTTCCCTATTTACACTTGCTTCTGAAAGCCTGCTTTATTAACCTAGAGCACGCCGTCCAAGGCCACGTATGCATATTAATTGACTGTTCCCTGTACTTCCTGGCAGACCCTTGGCTTTGGGTTTGAAGGCAGAGGTTTTGTCAATGCTAATCAGTCAGTCAACTCTGACCAGGCTGTAGTTTTATACCCGCAGCTGAAGCATCTACAACGATAAAGTTAAAACTGACTTATCTTTAATGCAGTAGGAAGCTTAAGGTCAGATTTACTTTCCAGCACGGTTGCCTGCCAGAAAGTATGAAAACATAACCTTCAGCACCGCATGCATGAACACTCGCCCATCTTTCAGGCGCATGTGGCCGACTCCTCAGAAGTGGAGAAACATCCATCAAATGCTGCATGGTAATTTACAAAGGCAGCATAAAATCGTGGGTTTTCAGCTGCATAATCTTTGGACAGATAAACAAATGACAGAGGGGCTCAGACAGGATGCAGGCACACCTCACTGAGCATTCGTCACTGAGGCTCCCAGGCACCACACCGCTTGGCGTTTTAGGGTTCAGGAAGCAGAACAGAACATGATGAGGGCACCAGCGCATGGCATGATGGATGGTATCGGGGAGGCGGCCTGAG